GGGGGGGGGAGGCTTGTTGGGGGAGAGCGTCTTATCCAGGAGGGACAGAAAGACACATTACCAGCATTTGTCACAAAGATTTCTCGTTGGCTGTCTGACTTAAAAACACGTCTGAACAAATGACACAAATTAAAAAATAAAAATAAAAAAAAAGAAATGAAAGAAAGATCTGAAGGTGTCATGTCGCACAACCTTCTCCAGCTGACCAGCCCACTTTGCCAAATCCCTCCCAAACATACACATGGCAGAGATCCGAGGCGTAGGAGAGCCCTCCACCAAGCAAACATCATGCTGGTAATCACCCAGAAAGTATAAGAGGCCCCAGAACCGCGTGAGTAACCTCAGGAGAAGTCTCATGAATCAAGATGACTGGTCAATAAAACCTAGTCAAAATTCCACCACCACTGCCGATATGCCAACAGGGCTAAGGGCAACCAATGCTGCTACTATGCTACTTGCTCGGGGCCACATCTAAGGGGCCAGCGTGCCATTAGAAACTTCACCGTGGCAGAGGGACAGACATATCACCATAGACACCTGGGAGACCCCGATTCAGACAGCTGGACGAGAAGGCGGCCGCGGGGACGCCATCATCCCAGCGGAGTCCACATGGTGTGGGCGGGGCTCACCTATCGGCGACGCTGCCATGAAGGGACCTTGCCCAGGCAGTGGGGGTGGGGGAGGGGGAGGTGGAGGGGCTCCGGAAGGAATGAACATGGGCGGCACTGGGCAGTGTCAAAAAAATAAATAAATAAATGATAAAAAAAAAACACAAAGCCTCATAATGTTTATTACATTTATGTATACTTCCTCTACCTGCGCACACACACACACACACACACACACACTTCTTTGTGAGTAAACATAAGGGGGTGTTGCTATAGTAACACGCTCTCCGAAAGTCCCATTTCAGCATCAGTGCTTTCCTTTTCCTGTATATCGCCATGTGTTCCCCTGGTGATGGCCAACACACCGAATAGTGCCACCTCCTCCATCACATTTCCATCCAGCAAGAAGTGTGACACTATTATACTCTAAGCAAAGGCAGAGCAAGTGAAACAAATGACCTCCAGAATGCAGGAGTCGTGATGTTATTGCATAAATGCCCTCGACACAGAGCAGGCAGGGTGTGAATGAGCCGATGGGAATTGAAGTTCCTCTTTCTGACATCACCTGCAGAGCAATGTACCCATCGCAGAGGCGAGGGGAAGTTCACTCTAAAGTCAAAGAAACAGTCATGCCGGGCACAAAGGGCAATCTGATTGGCTGCTCTTTCATCCAATGGTGGATGTCCCACAGCATGAGTCTATCTCATAATCTGACTCCATTCTCTGGTGTATTTTGGTGCAGTAATGGTATACGAATGCAGTCAGGCCCTCTGCCGCCTCCACCTGGCTAAAGGAGAATGAGGCGGGTCTCACCTGGTCCCATGGTGGGGGGGGATGGCGTCGGCACGGCGATGGGGATTCCCACACTGCCACTGCCACCGCTGTTCTCCCGGCTGCCGCTGCCCCCGCTGCTGCCACTGCGTTTGGGGATACAGAGAGTCGTTAGTGACGGTGTCGCTAATGCGGAGAGCCGCCACCTCCGGCAGCTCATCACGGCCGAGGCGTATAACTCACAGCCAGCCGAAAGCCTCCGTTAACATGTGCTCTACTGAAAGCGGTAAATGAGATTAATGAACTCACAGCCTGGCTGCTAACCAGCGGGGTGTTTCACTGGATACATTTCTAAATGACGCACAAATGGAGTAGATCATCTGCAGTCGAATGCAGACAATACACCCAGAGATAAAACAATAGGGACTGTGTAATACAATTAAACTTAATGCAGAAATGGACATATTTAAATGAAGGGTAATAGTGGAGGGTCTGGACAATAATACAAGGTACAGGATTCTTCTCTTCCAAACGAGAGCTGGTATGTTAAACAGAGCTCATAAACCACACTAAACCAAGAGAATCACCACCGATCCCTGCTCCTCTACCACAGTTTGACCGCCCCCGGATGCAGAGTGCACTGCAGCCTGCCTCTCCACGCACTCGTATCTCTATGGCAGGAACAGGAAGTGAGGCAGCCTCCATAGGCTGGGGTAATGCCGGGGCGGGGGGTTGGGCAGGGTGGGGCAGGCAGAGCACTCCGACAGTCACCCTGTAATCACACAGAGCTGGCTGCGTTCAGAGCTGAACTCCTTACTGCTATTGTTTACATGTTGGTGATTCAAGTCCCATGACATGCTAAACCCCTTCAATTAAACATCCTTCATGAATCACTGAATGAGTATTTTAATGAATGAATGTTCTGCTGTCACGCTCCTAACGTTAGAAAAGCATAACTACGGAGGAGTATGAATCCATGATCCGTTTCTTATGGGGGGAGGCCTTTCATTGCACAGTCATTGTAACACCTATCACCAGCTAAGCTAATTAAGTAATAAAAGGCTATTGCAGACACACCTGATCTGTTGAGACCCAGCAGTCCCCAAACGATAGAGAGGAGCATCATACACAAAGCAGTGTGACATGAAAACCAGTAACAACACTCAGTGTTGGGCAAATTACAAAAATACTCTATTACATACAGAGGTGGAAAGTTCAGGTCCAGAGAGTACAAATCCAGACCCAGGTTCTGTTTCAACCAACCAGCTGAGTGACTGTGACTCTTTATATTCAAGTGACCTGAACTTTCCCACCTCTTTCTGTAATGGAGTATTTTTGTAACTTCCCCAATAGTGACAACATTTGACTTACTTGACGTTTACTTCATCTGGCAGCAACGCTAAGAAAACCCATTTCCTCTAAAGGTATCGCATTCTCAGAATACACACGTATCCATCACTACAGCAGAGTGACTGCGGAAAGACGTACAGGCTGCAGCCCGTGGGGGGGGGGGGGGGGTACCTGTGAGTCCGGGGCCTCTGGCTCAGCGAGGCGGTGCGGCCCGGGCTGTGCTGGCTGCCCAGGCGGGCAGGGCTTGTCATGTAGTCGTTGGGGACCGTGGGGGGCTTGACGGGCTCCAGGGTTTTGTAGGGAGTGTTGCGTCTGGGGGGGAGGGGGGGTTTCAGCGATGTCATGCAAAGGAAACCCAAAAAAAAAAAAAAGCCTCCCCGTCTTTGTGAAGCTCCTGCTGCGGGAAAATGGCCGCACAAAGACAGCCAATGGAAAAACGGGCATTGTACACCCCCCACCCCCCCCCAAAGAACAAAGTGCTCCGTTAATTTTCAGCCCTACTTGAATTGGGGTTTGAGAGGGGATAAGATCCAAAGCGCATCGAACTACAAGCAAATGCGTCCCCAAAATGAACAGCGATGCAAATATGAGCGTGCATTGGTGCGTCGCACACGGACCGTTCTTCTTAAAGCACAGGTGGGCTCACTTAACCAGCAACCAGCAGCAAAGGCAGACAAAATTAGCATCTTAGAATTTTTAGTCAGCACATCCTGCAGAGATGTGTGGAGCCTGTGCTCAGCACACGCGCACACACACACACACGCGCACACACACACACACACACGAGCCTGGCTACCCTAACAGGTACCAGCCACAGCCCCCCCACTCGCTGGCCCATCGGGCATCTCTGATCAACACCAGGCAAACTGCTATTCCCACAACAATAGCGGCAGCAGAGAGACGGCCCATAGCACCGGCCTACCCCAGGGTTCCGCGGCCTGACATAGGCGGGCTGGGCGGCTTCTGTGTCGGCGGATTGGTCCTTGACAGCGTTCCCCCTCTCGCCGGTTGGTTGCTTCCATGCTGCAATGCAAACATCAAGGACATAATGTTGTGATACCCAAAAGTTTAGTGCGGCCCATACGGATAACTGAATGGTACTTCCCAGATATAAAGCAATCTTAAAATTCATTTTGTTCTTATAAACACTTATACTTCCTACACACACTTATACAATAACTGGCAGTCCTTCTTATTACACAAATTGGGTTTGTTTATAATTCAAGGTCAGATTAAACGTTGAAACAAGCTAAATCTTCAGTCTCATTCCGTATGATAAAATTCAATGTACAAGGCCCAGCCTAACAAAAAAGCACAATATTCTGAATCCCAGCCATTTTCACAACACAGCCCAGTCAAGAAGATCAGATTGAAATTTTAATTGCCACTGAGAACAACAGTTTCATGCAGTTATTTATACTTTTTAAAAATACTTTAACCTGGGAAATACAAATACAGTAAAAACTCAGATTGCGAGCATAATTCGTTCCAGAAACGTGCTCGTAATCCAAAGCACTCGTATATCAAAGCGAATTTTCCCATTAGAAATAATGGAAACTCATGATTTGTTCCACAACCCAAAATTTTCATTAAAAATTAATACAAAATATAAAGTAAAAGTACATGAAACAAATTAACCTGCACTTTACCTATGAAAAGAATCGTGGATGGTGTGAGGGAGACGAAAGAGGAGAAGAGGAGGGTTATTTTGTAGGGCAACTTTCACTACAACTAAAGGAATCACTGCTATCTGTTGGCTCACTGGAATCTTTTTCTTTTTGTGTGACTAACAAGGAACCCATCCAATGACGGCTGCTTTTGCCTCCTTTTCGATTCCGTGGAAATGTGGACATTGCATTGTCGTTAAACAGATTACGTGACGCTAGACAGACGAAGCGTATACATAATACTCTTATTGCAAGACCTCGCTCGTTTATCAAGTTAAAATTTATTTTTTAATTTTGCTCGTCTTGCGAAACACTCGCAAGCCAAGTTACTTGCAATCCGAGGTTTGACTGTATATGGAAAAGCCTTTATAGGTACTACTAGAGTGGTATAGACTACAGTCATTACACTAATGACATTTAGAGGTGAGTGAAACATGGCAGTTCTAGTATGGCTACAATGCATCTATGAGGAACTAAGAGGCAGAGGAGCCACACTACAGAGACAGCAGCAGAAGTGAGCTACAGAATTATGGGGCATGAGTCAAACATCACTTACCTTAGCTTTCAGCCACTTAACGTGGGCAGAAAAGAAAGAAAGAAGAACATGTCAAAGGAAAGGGGAAAAAAGAAGGTACAGTGGAAGGTAAACATTCATTTTTCACAAGTTTCTGAATGGTCCTGGAGACACGGATGGAGAAATTGTCTTAGGGTGGAGGTCGGATCAGACAGACAGGACACCTGACAATTCAGGGAGCAGGTGGCACTGGCACGGGCAGGGACCTGGCTGTAGCCCCCCAGATGGGCACTGGTGACATATAACACGGTGCATAAAAGCAGCAGTGACTCGTGTTAAAGGGCCAGCAGGGCATCTAAACATTACAGTGACGCTACACAAACGCGAAGCCTGGTGCTCACAGCCAGGCTGCTTTACTCAACACCCAGGGTGCCGTGAGAATGGCCGTGACTCAGTACACGGCCGTGGCCTCGAACAGACAACGTCTCAGAAGCAGCCGTCGGCAAAGAGATTACTAAGGGGTAACATGGAAAGGCGAGCGTGCTCGAGCAGGACAGGAGATAAAGCAGAAACAACGCAACTGAGATATGGGGAAGACAGTAGGCGAGTGGGGCAGACGACACAGTGTTCAAAGTCCATATGGGTATGAGATCCAAGCACATCCAAAATAAACCATAAAAGCCATAATAAGCACTTCCTCTGAATCACCACTTGATACATTTTAGCATTAAATTTTTGCAAAACCTCCCTGGGAAATTCAGCTGCTCACAGCCTGACGCACCGGTGCTCAGAGCCTAGGAGACAACGCCTGGCAGAACCGGCCCTGACAGGTTCAGGGACGCTCCCACACCCCCCTGCGGGCGGGGGCCACCTTTTCCAGGTCAGGAATGTGACGGCTTACGGCGGTTGAACAATCTCTCTAGCCTGTGGGAGGAGTGTCCTCGTTCACACTTGCAAAACAAGCAGCAGAATGAGCCGAGGTGTGACTGGGGCAGCCTTAGATTTCATGGAAGGGCCAGGTGTGGTACCCTAGGGAGGGCATATAACCTGGGGCCACCCGAGCAGCTTCCCAAATGCTGGGTACAGAGGCGCTAGAGACAAAACTAATATCAGAAGGCAAAATGAGAGTCTCATGGCAACTGCTGAGCCTGTTAAAGCGTTAAAAGCTCTGTGTAAACGTGTTAAGGTGTGGAGAGACATTGTGCAGCATCCTTGGCCACGACCACAGGAATACAAAGAGGAGGACTCGCAATTCCAAGGAAAACTGGAATAGCTTACAGTGGACTTGAACATCACACTGAGGCAGAGAGAGATCAGTCGGAGTATGTTTACTGTTCCAGGTCCAGTTTGTCTGCATTGAGGCTAATCCCTTTGCTATTGATAATGCATGTAACTGCTTCTCAGAACCTTAGAAACAACCCCAGCCCTTCCATGCTCTTTAAGAGCTGATGGAATAAAATAAACCCTTCTGCAAATGCCACGGCTACTGTTGCAGGGCTTGATAATCCTTGAATTGGACGACTCTTGGCAGGCTGCAGGGATTTCAGTAAGTAGAATTATATTTTCGCAGGATTACCAGGACACATGTACAGTTCCCTTTCCTTGGCTCTAAGGGGTGGCGGGCGTGATTACACCACACAGCAGACGGAGCCAGCGGAGGGCTTTTTGCATTCGGGCGAGTTTTCGGCACGGCCCTACACAAGCTGACGATGGGAAGCGTTCTTCCCGAGGAGGCATAGAGCTAATTTCGAAATGTAATTTCCGAAACGCCGACAGACGATAAATGAAGCTTTTTTCCCCGGGCCTGTCAAACCCCTGACAGGGCCCGTTTTTCAATCAGCATCTACACTGAACAGACTGGCTTCCACTCTCACGCTCGCTGCCCCTCTGAAATCCAGCCCGCACGATGAAGGGCCTGCGAGTGGGGAGGGAATAGCCCTTCGGGGGGGGGGGGGGGGGCTATAAGGGACCATTCATTAACACATCGGGGAAATTCTCATTAAAACTGGGAACTGCAGTGGCTTGTTCAAATGGAGAGGGAAACTCCTCCTTCTGCTCTCCCGCAGGATAACCAACGCTGGCCCAGAATTAAATACGAGCTGGGAAAACGTCTTTCGATCCTAAGACAAGTCATCTGTGTCTCTAAGGCAGTGGTGTAGTGGTGACTGGGTATGTAGGTATACTATTATACCGTATAATTGTGTACACACACTTATCCTCTGACTGATATGCATTTCTGACAACATTTTGGATGGGCAGACAGTAGTTGTGGGGTGGTATAAGCAAAAATGTGTATCACGGTATTTAAGATTCTGGTTGTCTTGCTGTATATCGCGGTATATACAGTATATAGCGGTGTTCTTTTTTGGTCTTTTTAAAAATGACAACATATGGAAAAAACTAAAACTGCTATAATTCTTCTTTTTCCTTTTACCTACATTGCCTTGCGGTAGCCCGTCTGCTTCTGGCTAGCTACCTTAGGCTAATGCTTCGTACACAGAAAGCATGACGGGAAAAAGAAAGTTATTTTCTCTCAATGACAAATATAGAACAAGCCACAGAGATGCAGCAGCGAAACTACAATTAGCGCTTTGAGACAATGTAATGTAAAAATGCACTGCATAAATTAAACTGAACTGAATATTTACATACAGTACTGTATAGTATTATAGCATTTGAATTATACACAGTTAAGTAATTTAATTTGTACAGTACAGTAATTTGAAAAGCATTGAAACAGCTGTACTGTATTTTGAAATAATGCTCTCAATACTCTCTGCCCAGCGATCCATAATGTTTGTAGCAGGGAACAATATATCATCTGCTGCCTACTGAAGTGTTAAAGCTCTTGTTTCAGTTATGCTACGGTATGGCGGTATATAAAATTCATACCATACAGGACATTAAAATCGGTATAGCCGCCAGCACTGGTATACATAGACACCACACACCAGCACTACAGCTCTGCTCGAAGGGGATCCTTCTACACAAGATCACATTACCTCACCAAAGCATCAGCCAATATTTCCAGTCCACGTTTTAGGGACAGATTCATCTTAATTTAGTAAAACAGTTTTCATTAATTTAGGAATGCACTCCCAGATACCACTGAAATGCATGCATACAAACTTTTTACAAGAGACAATACAATAAGCATCCATCTTCTCCGGAGACCTTTTTGACCTGTGATTGGCTCTCACTGGCATTACCGCCGCTTATCTTTCCATAAAACGGCCATCCCGGGCAAAGCCTGGCCGCTTAATTCAATACAACGACAACAGATTGGTTCCGCGAGTGGCAGGCAAACCAGACTCCCGTTATCGAGATGCAGACTCCATTAGCTATCGCATCATCTTTTTTTTGGGAGTAAATATTCAAACCCTGAAATAAATGTACAAAGTTAAAAGCTTACAAGGTCTTACTGTGGACACGAGACTGTGTAATTAAATGTGAAAGGAACAAAAAAATATTCAATTATGAAACTAACTGCTGTTGAGTCCAGGTTCAATAAAGTAGAGCTTCAGAAAAAAAGCTTCAGCCCGAAATATAGAGGCATGTTAAAAATCTTCAGGTCAACAGGATTGCAAAGATGCATTTAGCATGTTAGCTGCTAAGTGGCGTGACTCCCCAAGCACTCACCTTAACCCCATGGCCCACGTCGTCCAGCACGGTGTAGTCGATGGGCTTTCGGATGTACCTCACAGGCCGCTCCACGTTGGCGGGGGCGATGATCTTGTGGGTCCTGGACGTGTTCTTGTTTGTGGTCAGGATGCCGATTTCTCGCCTGGCCACCTTCTCTTTGTGGATGTCCACCGTCTGGATGAGAGAACAGGGCTTGAACATGACATGTAGAGAGCTGGGGGTATACGGGATGTTACAGTGACTAAATCATACAAACAGACAGATACACTCTTCAAATACTTCTGAGCCCCATAACATACACAAATGCTGGCAGAGTAAAACCACAGGTCATAAAACAGCTATAAAAAGAAAATGCAACACAGTGGCCTCATGAGTTTTACCTTGAATACAGGCTTACACCTTTTAATATCAAGTTTGTTCTTTCATGTACGTTTTCAAGGACTCCATCCAAAGAATATCCATCCAACCATCCGTCCATCCATCCATTGTACCTTACACATTACTGAGTGAATATAGCCTGAAGCATTTCCCGGAATTCTGCAGGGGAATACCATGGGCTGGATGCCAGCCCTACCCTATATCACTGAAACGCCATATTTTAGAGCTGAGGGCAAACCCAAGCGGACGCGGGAGCATCTACATGCATGAGGCCGGCTGCTCACCAAGTCACGTTAAGGCAGGGCCGCTCGATGCCGAGGCCGGCTCCTCACCAAGTCACGTTAAGGCAGCGCCGCTCGATGCCGAGGCCGGCTCCTCACCAAGTCACGTTAAGGCAGGGCCGCTCGATGCCGAGGCCGGCTCCTCACCAAGTCTCATTAAGCACCACGGCGCTCAAAGAGAAATTATGACTGTCTCTTCAAGACGGGAAGATCCCTCAACACGCCTCATGGTCTCACCACTGACTGATGGCCCTGGCGCCCACCGCCCTCGCGTGCAGATATGCACCTCCTATCAGTGACCTGGCATGCCAATTTGCTATAATGTTAATGTTTGCTTCTGTTGTGGGGGGTGGGGGTAAATTCACTTTACCAGACAGCCAGACTCTATCCATTCAACTCAGAGCTACATGTACTAGGAAGTTCAGACTGAAAACAAACCTCCACACTCTTGAAGTCCACTTATGTGTCCAGTGACATAACTGGGTGTAACCACAGACCTCCATGGGACACAGCTGCAGACATACACCCCTGTAATGGCAGCCACTGAACTGGAACACACCACCCACACACCCTGCACCCACCCCACCCAGAGCAAAGGAATAAGGTGGCAGTTCGATTTGAGGAATCAAAAGAGCTCACCTAGAAACATGTAAATGACAGTCTCAGAAGGGAGGTGGGACGCCCCCCCCCCCATCTGAGCCAGCCTATGCACCAAAGCCAGCTACAACACAGGAGCTACAAAAGTAAATGTATACTAAAGAGGCTCTGGGGAGGGACACATGGGGAGGGAGGATGCCAACCAGCCCCAGGCTCCCCTCAAACACCTCCGCACTCAGCAGGGTTAAGCCAAACCCACAGTGAGCATCTGCACAGCTAGAAGCAGGAGGAAGTGAAAGATCTAGATCTAGGTGGGTGCGTTTCTCCTCACAGGTGGAGAGGAAAGCCTGTCCTTCATGCTGCAATTTGCTCAAGTGTTTCTGTCCTTTGATACCTGCTTACTGTCCACCCCGTTTCCCATGAACCCTTGTTGTGAATGAAAAGGTAGATGGGTCCAGAAGATACTGAAATCCTGGGGGGAAAATGTGAAACCAACTAACTGTTCTCTTGAGAGTACAACATGTTCCTTGTTACAGCGAAGAGACACACTTGAGATTTAAAATTCTGGGGAGATATCAAGTTCTTAAATGGCACGGCCATTGAGATTCATCTCCTCCCAGAATTCCAAGCAACACTGACATCATGAATGCCCCACTCCTCCACAGGGAAGCTTACTGGGCTGGGGGGGGGCACCAGCAGCTGCCGTCCCCATACCAGCACTGCCAAGGCCTTCCAGCAGCTGTCCTGCCTCAGCCCACTCCATCCTCATCTCAGTCCAGCTCCCAGCACACCCTCCCAAGCCTACCCCCATACCTCTATCCCCTTGGAGGGTGGGTGTGTGGGGGCAGGAGAATGCGGAATGTTTGGGGAAACTTCCCCATTCCTGGATGCCCAGGGACTTCAAGGCCCCGCCCCAGCAAGTAAACGGAACTTCTTCAGCGGCTCCATCTGGGCCAAGGTCACATGACGACACAGAGCCTCACAGGACTCTGAGCTGATCTCCAACAATCTAGGGCTTTGTTTGCGTGAGGCCATTTTTAGATTTCTCGGACAAGACTTCTGGCCTAAAGTGTCAGTCGAGACAGTTCCCATGTCACGGTTTTGGACCTGTGATTTGGTGTAAGCCACGCACGCCTGCGGCGATCGGCTGGGCACACGCACGCTCAGACTCGAGTTACACGCGTCTGTGAGGGGTCAAAGGTCAATCACACCAGCGAAAGAAAACTACAAAAGAATGGAATTTACGAGCCACGGGAAATGAGGCTTTATCCTCATATGCCACATGGCCGTACGCCAGAAAACACTCCGGATGGATCGTTTTGTCAATTTACAAGCTACTTCAGCAGTTTACAGATGGGGAAAATTTTTTTATATATATATATATATATATATATATATATATATATATATATATATATATATATA